AGGGCAGTTTGTGGAGAAGTTTGTATCGCCATTCCAGTGCTATGCAACAGACACTTTTCGTAAGTACTGGAAACTCCCAAAGGGGATAGGGAATTGGAGGAGGAGGAGGAAGATCAATTTCAGTTCCACTGAGAAACTTTACTTCAGTTGCTTTTATTGCTACAATTCCTACTTTTTCTTTTGGTCCAAACCAATTATTTTTATCTCTGACAGACATACATTTAGGTTAAGATTTTCAAAAGGGAGCCTCAAGTAAAGCTCCTATATCCACACTCACGCCCCGCATTTAGTGGCTTGATTTTCAAAGATGCTAAGACCCAGCAGCTTCCACTGGAGTCAATAGCAAAATGCTCATCAACTTCAGTGGCAGCAATACTAGGACCTCATATTGCAAAACAGGAGGAAATTGCACACTGGGCCAAGTTCCTCCTAATCTCCCAATCATCTCTTGCCATTTTTGATTTCCAACCACACCTTTGTACAGCATCTGTGGAAGTTCCATCTTATATGGTTGTTCACATGGTGGCAGAATGTGTAAAAATGGGAAATAATTTAAGTAGCTTACTTATTTATACAATTGGGAAACCCTCAAATATGTGCCCACATGAGGGATAGAGCTTTCCAAAGACGCAAAGGGCAGTTAGGCACCCAATTCCCAGTGAAAGCAAACAGGAGTACCAACACCATTCCTCTTACCCAAGGATGTATCACATATTGCAAACTTTCAAGGGTTAAGAATTTGTCACAATGTAAAAAGTACCCTAACCATGTAACACTGACTTAGAAAAGCTTCAGCCTATCGCCCTATTTTTTTCTGAGCATAGAATGTAGGAGTTCACAACAAGTATTTAAGAGTTTATTAAAAATACAGGATATTACATATCTGCCAGCTACTGAATAAGAGAGAGACAAGGTGGGTGAGGTAATATCTTTTATTGGACCCACTTCTGTTGGTGAAAGAGACAAGCTTTCGAGCTCACATTGTTCAGATACAAAGAAAATCAGAGTGTACTATAAATCTCATGAGAAAGTGCTCACATACTAAAATGGTGGCTGCAATATAATACTGTGATGCAGACAGTTTTGTCAGCTGAGTGAGTGGTTTGGATAAGCACCCGCTAATCACATCACTAAATCTTTGAAGTGGTCCATCATTTGCATGCAACTGAAGTAGTAATTACATACAGCCATAAGTTAGATTTTAGAAGTCAATTTTAGGTGGTTTTAAATTATAAAAACTGACCATTTTCCAAAGGTTTGGAGAGATTATTATGGGGCAGAATGGTGGGAGGATCTGTGCTAAGTAGGCTGAGTAGAAAAGTTTGGACTCCTAGGGAAAATGAGTCCCAGCCAGGCCTTCTCCACTCTCTGTTGAGGGACCCCAGTTGGACAGACGTTCCCCGGCTCAGGGCCCTGTGCTAAGGCTTGAACCAGCAGAATCCAGAACGGTGCTTCAATCATTCTTTCCCAGGAGTTCTGCATTTTAAGAAATTTATACTCCAAGCATGAGTACTAAGCAATTTAGTCATTAGAATTTTGGACTTCAATCAAGAGGAATGATTTTGTTATATGGTTATTTACAATTCCTTTGCAACAGATTATCTCCTTATGATGAGTGAACTACTATCCTCTCTTCTTCCCCTCTCTCCTTAAAAGTACTAAGGCCAGGTCTACACTACCGCGGTAGTTCGACGGCTGGCAATCGAACTTCCGGGTTCGATTTATCGCGTCTGGTCTGGACGCGATAAATCGATCCCGGAAGTGCTCGCCGTCGACTGCGGTACTCCAGCTCAGCGAGAGGAGTACCGCGGAGTCGACGGGGGAGCCTGCCTGCCGCGTGTGGACCGCGTCTGAACCGCGGTAAGTTCGAACTAAGGTATGTCGACTTCAGCTACGTTATTCACGTAGCTGAAGTTGCGTACCTTAGATCGAATTGGGGTGTTAGTGTAGACCAGGCCTAAGTCTCCTGCAGGTAAGTTAGAGGGCTGTTTCACAACTACTTAAAAGCCTCAGCATCCTAGGATAACCTCCCTGTGGCAATGCAGAGGAGTCTGTCTCTATATTGCTTTCTCTGCCATTTTAAGTTGTTTTATACAGAGGCAAGCACACTGTCAGTGTTCAATAAATAAAAATACTTACCCCTACTTTATAAGTCATCCAGAGATGAGCAAACTCATAAGTCTATGGAAGTATTGTCATAAAGCAACTACACTTAACAGTAAGAATGTGGATTAATTTTATTTACATAAATATTCCTGTTGTGTGAAATACGTGAACTGTTTCTTCAGATATAAGCAAACTTGACAAACACTCCTTGATACCATACTATAAGCATAACTTTGAAATCCTATACACTAGTGGGAAAAGTATTGTTTTGGCTTAGAACTTGAAATCCAGATGTTTAGAAGTTCATCTACCCCCAACTTGCTAAAACTACAGCTCTTGGTTCACATTCCTGTAGAAACAAAGAACTTCTCAAGGCCAAATGCAGACAGTTAAAGCTTTAAATTCAGATATGCCTGAGGTAGAGCTCTGCCATTAATCAAACATGCAGTATTTGATGCTGGTGAGTTAGACAATCATATCACCCAGTTTGATTTATTTCTTTCAAATAATGGACAGTTTTATTTATGTCTCATACTGAAGATGTTTTTGTTGTTAACTTCAACAGATTCAGTGTCAGAGATAAACATCTGAATGCTTAGATCATTATAATGCACTATAGTATATTGATTAGATTTTTATAAGATCACTAAGGATAATACCAATAAAGCTATTAAGAATAAAACCCGTAAGGAACTAAATTTGACCCAACAGAAGGATAGAATTTCAGCATTACCAAAGAGAATTCCAGAGACATAAAAAATGAACTCTTCCAGCTGTGATTTTCTTAACTTGGTATTTTCCCACAGACAATAAAAATATTAATATAATTTTATTTTTCCTTTACATCATTTTTATGTAGTGATAGAGGATTGTCCATACTCTCATCAAACCACAGACAATGATTCTGGATGAATAAAAAAGTACAAAAATAGTTTCTTTATCTGCTTTTGCATTTTCAAGAGCAGTGGGGATCAGACAAAGAGCTTAGACTCGTGTTGTGTAGCATACCGCTAATTTAAACTTCTTTCACACTGTCTCCCACACTTAGGGCAAGGCATAAGAAGCTTTGCAAATTCCTCTTCTGCAGCAAAATTGCAGCAAAATTTCTATCCCCTTCAACTTGAATGAACACTGCCAAATCATTCTGGTCGTTATTTTTATATTGAGCAGATGGTGGTCTGAGATTTTGATAAACAACAACAATCTCCCAGAAATTGCAGGGTTGCAGAGTTGCAGGGTTGCAGAGGGGTCACCAAAACCAAGATTAACAATTGATTAGCTTTAATGGACCATGGCAGTAATAAACAACAGGAGCCCTACACAGAGATTTGATGGTCCTGTTAATGCTGCTGACACAAATGGCTTTTAACTGGCTTCCTAAAAGTGTTTATATCTTCAAAGCCTCAACAAATGAAGGACTTTGTCAAAGTGAGAACCATCCTCAGTGAAGAGGCATTTACTGTATACATTTAAAACAGTCTTCCAGAAATGTGCTCCTGATTTATTTAGACAATAGATTCAATTTCTTCCAGGTGTGAAGTTCAGAAAATGAAATGCAGTAAGCCTTCCAAAGGCTGGAGTGCAGTAGAGTTCTGAGCCGTTTGAATCCAGATAGATATAACACTAAACAATTATGAAGAACCACTACTTCTAATGTCAACATTTTATGTTAATTTCAAAGCTTCCTTATCCTTAACTCTGAAGAGGTCACTCTTGGTATTCTCTTCCTATAACAGATTTATTTTCACAGGGAATCAATTATTCCACACCAGAATTTTATTATGAAAAGGTACTTTGTTATGACTATAAAGTAACCATGGCAAGTTCTGAAAACAAAACCTACTGAGACAGATTCTAAGTGTACTCTTCTTCCCTTTTCCTTAAACCTATTTTCCTTAATGTTTACTGCTCAACCTTAAGATAGACAGATTCTTGATGGGTTTCAGAGTAGCGGCCGTGTTAGTCTGTATCCGCAAAAAGAACAGGAGTACTTGTGGCACCTTACAGACTAACAAATTTATTTGAGCATAAGGTGCCACAAGTACTCCTGTTCTTTTTGTAGATTCTTGATGGACATCCATAGAAAATTTTAGAAGACAATCTACATAGCGAGAGCCAAACTAAATAATACCTTTGCCGAATACGGCATTCAGTGGACCAATGAATAGAAATGCATTACAGCCAGGAAGATATTTATTAATTTAAATATTGAAGTACAATACATATATATTTTATTATTAAGTTAGCTTCAATTATTTTATTGTCTGATGAATTTGTATTATTATATGCTTTGCCTTATTTTCTTAAAGCTTTTTCAATCTTTTTTTAATCTTGTTTCCCAATTGTTCTCGTTTTCTCCCTTCCCTTGTATTCTGACACCAGTACACAGAAAAAGGCACCATTTTGATACAACGATGGTGCAGCACTAAAGCCTCTGTGTATAGAAGCCTTGTCTGCACTAGCTATGGGTCCAAACACAAACCATTTGCACAGTCCAATGTCACTAATCCCATCACTCTGGGTTTCCACCCCATTTGAAAATTCAACTCACCAAAGAGCAATTCCTTCCCAGTACACTGCAACTATGCTACATGCTGCTAATTACTGTGTTAAAAAATCTTGACCTAAATAGTCTTGGAGGGAATTTAAATGAAATCTCTAAGAGAGTAAAATCCACCTTCTAGGTCTCCCAACATGCAAACACTGAGTGCATAACTTGTCAAAATACTGAGCCAATCTCCCTTAATTCCATTTTCTGTAATAAGCATCCCTCTATTACTCACATGCTTGGCTTTCCACAGCAGTCCTTGGAGTAATAACACAAAGCTATTCTATAAGCCTTTAGATGTTCTCATGATAAATGTTTTTTTTTTAAATGTCCAATTTCTAATTACCTGTAAATCAGCATCAAATTCATGTTTCAAGTGAGCATCCTCTGCAGCTTCAACAAGACGCTGAAAAAAGGAGAAAACAATAAGTACACTGTTGGCATGAACTGATATCTTTAAATCCCAGTGGTTCTTCCAGAATGATTAAAAAACAATTATTAGTGAGTTGGATAACTCATTGTCACCATGTACTATGGTGCTTCATTGACATAAAAAGACACTGAGTCAGATTCTTAAAAGAGTTTAAGACCAGATATTTCAAGTGCTCAGCACCAGCAATTCAACCCTGGTTTTCAGATGAGCTCATCTGTCATTGAAGTGCAAGTAAGGGCCAGATTTTCACAAGTATTTAGCATTCAGCAGCTCCCATTATGACACTTACTGCAAGATTTTTAAGAGGACTCAACATCCAGTGTGCTAAACTGTTTTGAAAATAGAACAGGAGTACTTGTGGCACCTTAGAGACTAACAAATTTATTTCAGCATAAGCTTTCGTGGGCTACAGCTCACTTCTTCAGATGCATCTGAAAGCTTATGCTGAAATAAATTTGTTAGTCTCTAAGGTGCCACAAGTACTCCTGTTCTTTTTGCGGATACAGACTAACACGGCTGCTACTTTGAAACCTGTTTTGAAAATATGGCTGCTTATTTCAATGCAGAAGAGCTGAGCTCTTTTCAAATCTGGTCCTACATGGAAAACTGAAAGGTTCCCTCCCCCTTCCCCCCAAGGGATGCAGTAGTAATCCTTGATTATAAACAACTGAAATTAAAATGGGATTCTGGAGAATAGTTAAAATATAAGGGATTAAAAAACTAGAGATGATTTTTATTTACCTAGCACGTATTAGGTGTTGTACTGTAATTGGGGCATAATCACAAGATTTCCTTTTAAAACTATTAATTTCAATCCATACTCCCAGTATATAGTATCTTCTCAAATGCCACCATAATTAAAAGGAGAAAAAAATGTAAAATGTTTTTCTCCTAATGACATTAAAAATTCCCTGTTTTGAGCTTCCTTGCGAGTAATGCCTCAATAATGGAGAAGCTTTTACTCAATGTAGCCACTGTTTCTTTATTCCTACTCAAAAAATGCAACACATAATATGGGTTCAATCCAGACATTTTGCTCCACAAAAAGACATGATATTCCTTCCAAAACTTTATTTTAGTTTTTTGTACTACTGTAAGTTTGAATATTCTTGTTATCCAGGCAAGTGCCTGCTTTTTTTTATTATTATTTTAAATCCTGCCAGATAAAGGGCTGGATAAGTTCATGATCAGCAATAACATTTGTCATATAAGCAACAAGAAAAATAATTAAACATCATGCTACAGGGAATAAATTGATCACAATCAAGGTCTAGGAGGGATTCCATCACCCCCTTGATGAAGGGTATACAGGTGTGTATGTTTTTGCTTTCTTTTAACACATCAAGTATCAGCACTTTCATGCTTTCATGGTACGTGCTATAGAAAAACTCAAAATAGATTAGTTAGCTGCATAGCTCTTACTAACACTAATAGGAGTCATGAAGCTAAATTTCCATGCATGATTTTGAAAATAATGTACCCCCTAAAATAGCTGTGTCATATGAAATAACAAGTATTCCTGAACCATAGTGGATCTTTACTTAGACTGAAATAACTAATTATATATAATTACTCCAAGTGTAACAAACTTGGCTACAGCAGAACCTCAGAGTTACAAATGCCTCGGGAATGGGGGGTTGTTCGTAACTCTGAACAAAACATTTTGGTTGTTCTTTCAAAAGTTTACAGCTGAGTGTTGACTTAATACAACTTTGAAACTTTACTATGCAGAAGAAAAATGCTGCTTTGAACCACCTTAATTTAATTGAAAAAAGCACAAAAACGGTTTCCTTACCTTATCAAATCTTTCTTTTAAACTTTCTCTTTTTTTAGTAGTTTAAATTTAACACAGTACTATACTATATTTGCTTTTTTAAAGTTAAATTTATTTATTTATTTTCTTTCTCTGCTGCGCCCTGACTCCATAATTCCGGTTCCAAATGAAGTGTGTGGATGACTGGTCAGTTCATAACTCCGGTGTTTGTAACTCTGAGGTTCTACTGTACATTTAGTTAGCTGAGATACTTTTATACTATATAGAGAATGATACCTATTATAGTGCTATTAAAAACCGATCTTGAAATTCATGGGAGCTATTTCAGTCTACAAATAAATTTGACTACAAATCTTTTATATTTACAATAAAAATACCACAAAATAAATATGTATTTGGAAGGGTAAACCTCACACCAACTGTGGCATGTTTTAAAAATTAATTATTGCTCCCAATCTGCTCTGTCACAGTAGCAATGTGCTAAAAATCAGTTTAAATTATTTGGCCTTTTTTTTGTCAATTAAGAAAGAAAAATATTGTGAGCAAAATACAAGGCTTAACTCAATACATTCAAGTAAGTGTGTACCCCCACCCTCTTTTTTTAAAACCAGAATTGGACTATGAAAATGCTTGTTTGGAAGCTTCTCTTTGAGTGTACAGTATAGAAGACCATGACTATGATGGGTATTTTTAATTAAAAATGCAGGCAATGGAGCAGAAGAGGGGTCAAACAGACTCCTTCATACAAGTGAATTTTGGGGCAAAGGACAGACATCAAGCTTTTTTTTTCCTTCCACACTGATGCATTTACTAATTCAGAAATTATTCTAGTATATCACGAGGAATCCAATCCTTGAAACACATTACCTAGTGGCTATAAAACTGTAATTCATAGTTTTTTTATATATATGGTTTGTATTGACCCCAATGTTCCTAAATTACATTTTTCTCTTCAGTGAAATAAACTGAAGGCAAGATTTCTCTCTGTCAATGAGAAATTACCTAGCTCATGCTTCTGTGGTAAAGTAGAGACAATCTTCTAAGGAGGGAGGCACCAAAATAAAGGGCACTAATTGGTTGGTACCTCCCACTTTTAAATATATATATTTTTGAATACTCTGTATAAAAATATTGGCACTCCACCTCCTTAAGTTCCCACAAACAAAGGGTCTCCTCTCACATGGTTGGGGAGGCATTGCACACACCACCACCACCCCACTGAGGTAACAAGACGACAAAAGTTTTGCACAAAGAATGTAATAAATACAAACATACACTGCATTTTCAGTATAATACTCCACAATACATTTATTGTAATATTTCTCAGTACTAGCATAGAGGAGACCAGGAAATCTGGGGAGAGATGTGGAAAAGGTAAACTAGTAATGAGGTAAGACCACACAATGACATATTACTAGATCTATGCAGATTAAATCATAATGAACAAATTATATACAAATGAATCATTTTTCAGAAAAGTCTCCAAAGGAATGAAGCATTAAGGAAATGATTTCTTAAAGCACCTGAGACAAAAATATAAAAACCATATGTAACACTACAACATTTTTATGATAAAGCCCCATTTTAAAATATTTTCATGACAAAATACTTTATCCCAGAATGATTTCTGAGCACTCAGAGTGATTATTAACCATTAGGTGAAAATTACTATGACATGCTTAGTACAAACACCAATATATTTTCATTAGAGTAAATATGCTTTAAATTTATTGCTTTAGCCAATAAATGCTTATTAACTCTTAGCTATTCTGAAGGAAATCTTTAGTTATCTATATCGATTTACACTGAGTGAATTACAAACTTGGAAGTAAAATATTTAAGGACATATACTTTAACTGCATATTTAATCCTGTATGTGTGTACACATATAAATGAAAACATGTGCACACAGACTGAAGGCCGTACATAATCCATGGATAAATAACAATTTGCACTTCTTACAGTACCCTTCAGTTTAAGAAGTCAGTTAATTAATTAATCCTCACAACACTCCAACAGTTACAGTTACAAAGTTATTTGTCTAATATCCCACAGTACAGCACTGATAGAGCTGGGATAAGAATCCAGGAGTCCTGGCAACTATCAGCCTCAAAGACTAACATGGTCACTAAAATGCAATTCTAGTGTTGGTTTTCTGAACAGTATTAGAACTATAGACTATTTACCACCGGGGGACATGGTGGGTAAGGTCTCTCTAGTATCCTGGGACCGACAAGGCTACAAGCACATACAGAGGAGAGAGAGAGAGAGAGAGAGAGAGAGAGAGCCTCAATTTCCCCCCACACACACACAATTCCTAGGAAGGTGCCACCACAGCCATGATGTAATAATCTGATAGAATCTACTGATATAAATATGTTGATATGAGTGGTCCTTGCACAAAGCAATTATATTAAATAGCTACTTCTGAATTTAAGCAATTTACTGAGGCAGATTTATTTTTAATTAGTTAAAGTTCAATTGCTTCAGATGTGACATGATCAGATTGACCGTCCTGCACTTTTAAGCAGTGGGGGCAGTGTTTGGCAGGCTGGCCGAGAGAAGGGAACAGTGCTTTATGGCTGGTGGTGGTAGGGAAGATGAAAACTGCTGCAAAAAAGGGTCAGCTTGGTCACTGATATCCCTTGGGAATGCAGAGTTTAAAAGGGGCAGGTCGGCGTCTAAAGCCTTCCTTTTTACAGAGACCAAGGCTGAAGCAGGACCCACCCTCCCTCCCTTTTAGGTGGTAAAATACCAGGTTTGGTCAACACCTGCTGGGGGCATTACGCTAGCCGTCCCATTTTTAGCAGGGCTGGGAAGGAATTTTTCCCTTACCACCACTGGATGCAGTTTGGGTTTTTCTCGCCTTCCCCACAGCGGGTTTCAGGAAGGGCTCTGTTCATGCATGGCATGATGGGTGGTAGGTCATATGTCGCAACTCATTATTTAAGTGTAGGGCGGATGTCCAGTGCAGGTACTCCATAGGAAAGGTATACAGTGACTGGATAAATGGCTTGGAAAAGGACTTAAAAAGAGGTGTTCATGAAAGGAACGAATGGGGGGCGGTTGGGGCTCCTATGATTGGTACGGCAGGGAACCAACCCCCCATTCTTATAGCCCACCTTAACCCTCCTACGAGTGGGGGTGGATGGTAAGGTCCCAGCAATGGATTTGTTAGAGGGACCTGAATGGAAAAAGA